CCATTTCTCCCCCTGAAGTCATGTTTGCCCCCGGCTACCACACTGAGTGGAGGCTCACATGACCGGCAGCTGCCTTTAAACAGCTGGAGGAGGGGGGAGGGAGGACACACCTCCTGTTTCCGCTGCTGCTGGAGTGGGTTTATCTCTCTCTCCTCATGAGGGGAAACCTGGAGAGACCCCATCTCACAGCAGTCACGTCTGCAGCTTCTCTCCTCAGACTTCCTACCTGGATCCACATTCTTCATTCTGTACAAACATGTCCATCCATGCTGGGAATGGGATTCCTCTTCTATTGCTCTTCCTGGACTCGGGGTTACTTTTCACTTTTTTCACCTAAATCCCTAAAAATCGTCCTGATAATTTCACAGAGGTTAGCTGGTATTTATCTGTATGGTGCTGGGATACCTCCAAGGCCTAAGTCATGCAGTTTCACAGGGCCAGTCTGTGGAAATTAGGCCGAGATACGTTTGCAGCAACAAGTGTTTCATTAGTTGATCATCACTATACTGGAAAACAAAACTAAGAAATGTCCAGTGCAGCTGAAAACTACAGGTGAGCACATGCATTAGAAACATCAGTTAATCCTCACTGATGAGTCATGTACGGCAGCTCGTAGTCAGGAAGAAAGAAAGCTCTTTCTTCAATACATGTTGTCTGACGGAGGGCTATTGAAGTTTGTGTCTAATCAGTCGAGTTGCTGCCATGTTTCTGTCCAAACGCGGGTTTGATACGTAGACAGTGAATATGTTCAAGACGACATCATTCATATAAAATCATAACCTACTGGTTTACACCCTCTCTCCTAGTTTCACTTTCCCTCTAACTGTTGCACATTTCAAACCTCTCCACCCCTACAGCTCTAAAACAATCCTGGGAAATGACCCCCACCCATCACCCGGCCCCTCCCAGTGGAAAAGTCCCCAGCTCCGTCAGCCTGGACAGGAACAGTCAGGCAGCCTCCCTCCGTCTCTCTCTCCTCCTTTACTTTACGTCAGAGTGAGACATCTTCCCGAGGACGCTGCCCAAACATGACAAACTTCAGTTTACAATAAACATTTCAAACTCAACGGGATCTGACATTCAAGGTATCAACCATCTCCACCACCACTGACTGCAGGTGTGTGTGCAGCAGAGAGAAAAGCTCTCCAGAGGGGAATCAACACAGCACAGAAAATGAGGGGCTGCACCTTGGCCTCCAGCCCTATTTTCTACTTGCCCAGGGGACCCTGAGTCCCGGGGCCCGTTTAGACATCCGTCCATGTTTCTTGGTGAGTGAAGCTGAAGCCCAATAATTAATCACATCATATATATTTGTACATATCTATGCTACTGTACTAGGCTGCTGCTTTTACAGTTGATTTAGCTCCTTTGTCTAAGAATTAGAGGGTGACAGTATCTGCTGTGGGAACAATGTGATATATGCACACATGGAGGAATAAAAACCTGGACTAAGGAACTGTATTTATGCTATTTTACTGTATCAGGTGACATCTTCAGTTCTATGGTCCTTACTGTTACTGTCGAGCCAATGACCATCCAAGCTGTGTGCCTCTCTTTCTTCTCCTCCCTGTCATCTGTGCTGGCCCTGGCCCCTGGCCCGGCAGAGGTCATGTGACTCGTCTCTTTGGCAGCACCTGGAAGTTGAAACACATGGTTCTGTCAGTGTCCACACTGTACCCTGTTATGCTGATTTATTCTGTACACGTGACATCCATGTCCTGTCCATGCTGTAAGGGGGATCCCTCCTCTGTTGCCCTTTCTGAGATCTCCTGATCTAACTCCAGGGTCTCAGGACAGAGCGCGTCATATGCTGTACACACCGAAAAGCGCTCTGGGGTAAAGGCATGAGGTCCTGGGGCATTTACTCCCAGAAGTGTGTGTTGGCCAACGTTAGCTTTGTGTGCAGCACTGTCAGTATGCTAAGTTACGAAGTGTGGCAGCATTAGCTAACCTCCAAGCTGACGCTCACCTTTTTGTGTGAATCCAGATGTGGTCCACCAGATGTCTCATCTTTCCGACGGATTTTAACGCTAAAGCCTATAAACCGTGACAATGCTGCCATGTCCTATGTCCCACTGCTGTCAAAATTCAAATGATTTGCGTTCCCGCCCACTCTGTGTGTCCTTTCATGCTGAATGGTCTACCAAACGCCTGCGCGCTCCCGCCACCGATGATCTACGTTCCATTTGTCCTTACCGGCACGCCGCTTGATACGCGACGGGGAGACGCTTAAAGGGCGCACAGGAGGCGGCGACAGGACGCCGATCGTCATCAGCTGACAACAGCAACACGATGTCTCTGTTCTTGAGCACAACGTGCACAGCCTGAGTGAACACTGCGCAAAAGAGCCCAGACACGCAGACGTACGGTGCGAGGTTTCTCTCGGACACCTTTGCTGATACTGGTCAATAGTAAGCTCGTGTTTCTTATCAGCATCTGTAACATCTGTTGTGCTTTTGTCTCATTTTGCATCTAGTCATGTATCTCATTGGTTTTAAGTTTGTAAAAGCACTGACCTGTTTTCTGTTATAATAAAGTCCAAATAGAAACATTAGAGCAGCTGCTGCTCTCAATCACATCTGGAATCTGAACAGTGAAACAAGAGATCAGGCATGTCACTTTCTCTGGACTTTATTTTGTTGTAACATTTCATTTTAAACAAAAAGGCACAAACCCCCTCACACAGCTACTGACAGCGGTTTGGATCAGAGCTGTCAGGAAACAGCGGCTCACACAGCTCCCCACCCTGAGATGAAGCTTTGTTCAGACTGTTATCTGAGGTTTCAAACGAGTTTCTAAGGCTGCGTCACATCCCAGGCCTTCATGCTCAGTCCTGATGTCTCAGCCAGATCTGACCTTTGTGTCTCTGCTTCCTTTCCGTGTGTGTCAGGGCCATGTACCCTGCTCCAGTGTGAACATCACTGAGCTCCTACACTGCCACACAGATCTGGTCTGAGGACACCTGGTCTGTTCACACTGCTGTGGACAAACCAGGTCTGAGGCGCTGGGAGGGAAACTTCAGCCTAAACCAACGTTAAGACATGAATTAAACTGTTGAAGACATTGCTGCAGTTCAAACCCTGGCAGAGAGGGGGCGCTCTCAGAGTAACCAATGCAGCCATAGCTTTCTACTTTGTGTCTGTGGGTCCTGGAGCCCTCAGCTGTCCCCACAGGGACCACAACCCAGAGTTAGCTGAATTAGTTGCAGAGTTATTTAAACATTTTGAGCTTTATGTCTGTCAAGCTGCTCAGAGAACCCGGTGTTTGCTGCTGAGCAGCCGACAGTCTGCTGGAGAACAGGCAGAAAGCCTATGTCTGACTTTCCAAACTCCGAGATTCACCTGAAGACTGTAGCTCAGTGCTTTCAAGGTGACAGGTGTGTAATGAAACAGGGAACAACACCGCAGAACGCTTTAGCACGAGCTGCAGCCGAGGTTTCAGTTGAAGGGCCACTTTCTGCACACAAGCTAAACACGGCCGACAGATAAAGGAGCATTCCAGGAAATTTTTTTCAAAGCACATCGCAGTGCTTCAGATTTCTGAAAGTTTTTCCTACCAGGTCACTGTTGATTTTCATTTAAAGATACGTTACTGTTGCACAGGCATGAAGAATTTTCACAAAAGTAAAGAGGTAACATTTAACTTGGCTTTTACTTCAGCATTTATGGGCAGTATGCAACCATTTAATGGAGTGAGTGTAAAGTGGCTTTGTTAATGCATTAGTCCCCACCTGTGATGGAGGCTGCTGTAGACACAGAGCGTGAGGCACACTTAGAACCAGTGCTGTGTATTAGCAAACACCTGAACCTTCCTAGAACTATACTTCAATACAGTGTGTAATACATGTCTATTCAATGTTAGAATACTGCTGAAATAAATGCTGAACCCTGAGTGCCACCAGTTCACCACACAGACCAATCTTCCTAGAAATGACCTGAAATCAATCTAAAACTAATGGATCATAAACAAAACCGTTAGTAGCTAATGAGCGAAAACACAGGAATGGTCCTTTAACGGCTCCAAAGGCAGTAAACATCAATGCCACAGTCCTGAGGTACATGTTCACAGCATGTTATAAAAAGGACATTAATGTGTAGACAAAGGGTTCATGGCCAAAAGTATGTGGACAGATCAATCAGTCACATTTTATTCATCACAAATTGTGTAACAGTCTTTCGTTTGCAGCTTTTCTTGTTGTATTGTTCACCAGTAACTGAATACGTTTAGCGCTTTGTTCTGTTGCTTTAGGTTGGTTAACAGTCACATGAATTAACAGTTTTAAAGTCATTAAATGTGTAAATCATATTTAAGTCAAACATTCTGCAGCTGCAGCTCCTCAGTGATTTAAACCAAGTATCTTTGTCGGTCGGACAAAACAAGACACGTGACTGTGTCATCTTGACAAAATATAAGCCGAATGATCAATCAAGACGATAATCAATAGCTAAAGAGAAAACAGCTGTGAGTTACCTTCTGTAACGCTGCTGGCTGTGGAGGTCAACGCCATGTTGACGCCGTGCAGTGAAAATTCTACATCCAACTGACTTCTTACTCTGTGTCACAATACAATTAGACTATTTTGTATCATTACATTTGCTGTTATCTTATTTGAATAGTTTTTTAGCAGCGGATTATTCTCCGTTCTTTCCACGGTGTGCGCTCAGTGTCTTGTACAGAGCTTTGAATTGCATTTGACGTGTATGAAAGGTGCTAAAGAAATAAAGTCTGACTGAGTTGTGTATCTAAAATAACCAGGTGCCTTGATCTCTCTGCAGGATGTTTTAAGAAGCAGGTCGAGTGCAAACTTTCACAGAGAGGAGAGTCAGGCACAAGGCGCCAGAGACGGACATATCAGAGGAGCCAGGAGCTGAGGGGGCTATGTGGAAGACCCCCTCTACATCATGTGCCTAAGCAACAGAGGGACGACTAGTGCTGAGTGCTGGTCTGACAGTATCGCAGAGTGGCTGGTTTGTCCAAAGACTGTGCTCGGTTTGAATCGTGTTCTAAAAATGTACCAGAAAGAGAAGCAAGCATTTGTGAGAAGCCTCAGAAGTGCTACTTTTTTCTGTTTCCTTGTCATCGTCAACAAGCTGGTCACTCATCAGGCTGAGACACACTGGTCCAATCAACTCATCGACAAACCAAAACGACACTAGAGTTTGTGAAGGTCCACATACTTCTGGCCACACAGCATGTTGCAGGTTTCTTTGTGGTGTTAAGGCATCTATATCTTTATATCATTTCTCTATACATTTGGGTTGATATGTGTTAAAAGCAGCAGAAGGATTCATTAGAAAGCAGCAGAGCGGCGAGTCAGCCCGCTTTAAAGACAAGAGTAGAAGCAGACATGTTGAAGCGAAGGAAGGAACACAACGACAGAGACAGTGTCAGACTCTCCTTTCATGCTGCTGCTAAGACTAAAGGCCGGGTTCTGGTTGAACGGAAGATGGAGAGGAGGTGGATGGAGGCAAGTCTACGTGAAGGTGAGGCCGGCATTGTAGTACACCTTGAAGATCTTCTCGATGGCGTTGACGTACGCTGCCGTCCGCAGATCCAGGCCCAGGTTGTACTTGTTGGCTGTTCGCATGATTTGCTGCAAAGCGGGGTGGGGGTGGGGTGGGGGTGTAGAGAAGGATGAGAGAAGAGGAAGGAAGGTGGAGACATGAATACGAAGCATTCTGCACCTTTGTTCGACCCCTTTCAATGCACCATAAAACCTGTTCCACACCCACACAGGTAAACTAAAGTCTGAAGGAGATGAAGAAAAATCAGCTGAGTGTTCATTGACTGAATGTTTGGCTCGTTGCCACAGGTGCACTGGGGCCTCCTCTGAGGGGCCTCTGTGGCTGAGGAGACCGCCAGCAAGGGGGGGCAGGTCTGTTTGTTTTGGTACATGTGTGTTGTGTTACCCTGGCAGAGCGCTCCATGGTGAAGGCCAGACCTGAGTGAACGATGTCCTTCTCAGACGCTCCCTGCAACCAAAATACACTGTTACAACACCAGAGAAGAAGAAGAAGACACAGCAGTTGGAGAAGAAGCACATGCGTACTCACAGCGATCCTGGCCTGGAACTCTGAGGTCGGCACAATGGGGACGGATCCGCCATGTTTCCCAAACTTCCTCTCTAAACTCTCCTGCACCGACACTGAAGGGGCAGAGACCGAGAGGTTACGAAGGCGAGGAGGGGATAAGAAAGAGCAATATGACGGAAGAAGGAAGCAGGACAGCAGGTGACTCACTGAGCAGGTGATAGTTGGAGTCTCGTTCATATTTGAAGGTGAGTCGACCGTAACTGACGTGGTTCAGGTTCTTCAGCCACTCAAAGTAGGAAACTGTGACACCGCCGGCATTCAGGTACATGTCCTGATGGAGGAGACAGGACACAAGGAGAGGAGGAAGAGGAGATGAAACAAAGACAGGGGAATGAGGGGGAGAGGAGGCAAGGAGAGAAAATAAGGGAAGGAGAAGGGAGAAACAAAGAGTGGTGAAGGAGAGGAAACAATGAGACAGAACAAGTAAAGGAGACAGGGAGAGGAAGCGGAGTAAACAAGGAGAGGAAATAAGGAAATGCAAAGGAGACAAGGTAACAAGGAGGAGACATGAAGAAAATAAAACCAAGAAGAGGGAACAAGCAGAGGAGAGAAACATGGAGAAAGGGGAGGAGAGGAGGACATAGGAAACAAAGAGATGAGGAGGAGACAAGGGAACAAACTTGGTTACAGACTAAAAGTAGAACAAAAGTTCCATGGACATTTTATGGATAAGGCTCTGTGAGGTCACTGACCGGGATCACCAAGATGTTCCTCTCCAGGAAGATGCGGTCAGCTTCAGGCGTGGTCGGACCGTTGGCTCCCTCCGCTATGACCTAAAGCCACACAGACTCCAGGTCAGTTTACTGACCCACTGTCGCAGGTAGCGTTACAAATCAATAGGCTGAACTGATTTACAGCAAAGATGGGTTCCTGCATCGTTTTTCATCACCGTAAGGAAGTAATTTAATTTGTTCAGTACGACATTAGCCAAAATCAGACACGTCTCTCTGGATGATTTATCCACATCTCATCTGATTGTCACATATGACAATACGTAGGGCTGACATTGTACCATCAGCTCATCCATGATGCTGCCCTGACCACTACTACAGCCGTGGGTATTCAAAATACTCCAACTAAACTGACCCCGAGTCGCCTCTCACAGCACAAAGACGTCGGCCTCCGCAGCTAAATCGTTTTTTTGTAAGAAATAGACCCGACAGGAATCTGCACCGTGCGTCGCTAATACACCCCAGCCACCTGATTCCTCCGTCACCTGTGTGAACGCCCTCAGTGACACGACGTAGTTTCATTTCTGGACCGCTGTGCGTTTGCATATAAACAGGAAGCCCTGGTGTTTGTGCTGATCTTTAAATACTTTTGTCAAAAGGTCATTTTCTTGCATTTAGTGGTAGAACTTTGAATTTGTGCCACAATTTACTCACATGCTGTAAACAAATGCAGAGCAGCAACTAAAGACCGGGTTCATAAGAGAAGGACCTATTATGTTTTGGCAAAGGCCCATTTTTCATTCCCAGATCCAAACCAACAGTTTCAATGACGGTTCTAAACCACAACAGAAGTAGCTATATATATATAT